ATAATTACTACCGTAAGATTCAGAAACATGAAATAAAAGAAGCGTTGAAAAGAATGAGAAACAATAAGGTGGTTGAGACAAACGACATACCTATTGAAGTATGAAACAATCTTGAAGATAAAGGCATTAAGTGGCTCACCAATATTTAGGTCAAAGAAGAAACAATAAGGTGGTTGAGACAAACGACATACCTATTGAAGTATGAAACAATCTTGAACAATAAGGTGGTTGAGACAAACGACATACCTATTGAAGTATGAAACAATCTTGAAGATTAATAAAAAATAATCATGCTATTGAGAATTTACTTAGATAGTGTGATGAAACACTATCAAATAGAGCACAAGACTTGCACTTAGATATAAGTATATATATATATATATATATAACCCCCATAATTTTGCCTTCAACAGGAATCAAACCAAGGTCACTACAATTAGTTAGGAAGAGAGTGTACCACTACGCTATATAATGTTTGTTTATTTTTTCACGAATAAAATATATATTAACAATATGTTCAAATTGATATCATTCTAATGCATTGGTAATAGCAACAACATCTCCTATAGCTTTTGCACTGACTATTCCTGTTGAATTTCTGTAATATTTGGAATGAGCCATTAAAAAATTTGGTTACGTGTAAATTTTCTCAGTAATATTACATCTTTCTACCTTTTGACATCTGCTGCTTCATCTACCTGTTAAAGCTACTTTAACCGTTGCCTTTTAATAACTGCTTCATCTAGCTGTTAAAGCTACTTTAACCGTTGCCTTTTAATAACTGCTTCATCTAGCTGAAAATTTTCCAATTGAATTTAAAACATGTTTTTGTGCTGATGGTAAAATATCAAAAGTTTTTCTTGATTGCAAGTTTTTATTGTATTTGATCTTCATTAGTTTCATAAAGAACATTTAAAATGATAAACCTGCGAGAAGCATAGATCAATAGTATCTTTATATGTTTAGCACATATAACTAATTTTAGGATAATTTGTCACAACTAGGGTAGTGCATATAAATACAAGTTCAAAATATAGAATATCTATATCATATTGTGTGCTTGACGACATCAATAGTAAATCACCGATATTTTTGTGATCATTGAAATTGTTGTTGAGATTTGATGCATTGGTTTTCTTGTTGGCTTGGTGTGTCAGAAAAGTTCAAAGAACACTTAGCCAAAGCATGGTCAGAGACTTGTTGGAATCTGCATATTCCACCAGAATCTTCATCATGTTCTTGAGCTTCATCAGTTAGAATTTAAACTCACACCATTTCTATGGTTTCTTGATACTGTCTTGTTTCTACAACCATACAGAATCATATCCCTATACTTACATGCCTCAATTTAGTTCTTGCGCATTGTTTGATTCTCAACAGTTGAAACCATTGCTTGTTTTCATTCTTTGTGTTTGAGCCATTTTATCAATTCTTGGGTGAATTTTAGTCTTGAGTAAATCCTCTTGTTTGAAATGAGAGACATACTTTACTTGAGGACAAGCAAAAATATAGTTGGGGAGAGTTGTTAGATGTCAAACACTGCTTTATTTCTCTATCAAATGTTGACATCTTTCATTCTTTTTGTGGATAAATTGATTAGAATCACTTATGTTTTGGATGATATGCTTCATTGCTTGAAAATGCCTTGGTTGCTTTGATTTGTGTGCTATTGTGCAAGAATTAGGCACAAAACAAGTGAAGAGTAAGACACAAGAATATTGGCAAGGAAATCAAGACAACAAAAAAACATCATGAAGTTCTCCGTGCGAAGCTCCTAGCGAACTTCCCCAGAAAATTCATCAACAAGTTCGCACAACGAACTTGTCAGCGAAGACCTACGGGAGCTTGGTACTGTTCACACAGAGGAGAAAGGGACCAAAGCTCGTTGTGCGAAGAAGCTAGCGAATGGTTCGCTTAATCAAAGAAGTAGCGAAGTGCTAATGAATGGTCCCAGACTTGAGGCAGTAGGTATTTGGATAGAAATTCGTTGTGCGAAGTTACCGGCGAAGGCTTCGCAGTGCGAAGGATTATCCGCACATCGAACATGAGGAAATGTCTCAGGACGGTTTAACTGTACAAAGGCATTTTAAGTGCCACATTTGGTTGTTCTCTAGGCGAACATGGCAGAGTAGTAACATGGGTATAAGTACTTGAGACCACTTTCTAGCCCATACCAATTTTTGATACCTTTTCATAACTTTATATTTTTCAGCAAGAAAACCCTAGTTCTCCCATTTTCATCATCTCTTAGCCATCTTTCACCAAAAGAAGGTGGATTCCCATCCAATCTCGATTTTTTAACTTGGATGTTGATTAACCTTATTCTGAAACTTGCTCAAGCTACCATGGAAGTGGGTGGCTAAACCCCTTTTTGTGTCAAGATTAGAGGTAGCTAATTCTGATTTTTATGTATTTCTTTTAATCTTTTGTATATGAACAAAGCTTTGATCAATATAGATAAAGTTATTTGCTATATTTTGTTGTATTTATGGTTTGTATTGCTTTAGACATAAACTTTTCAATTTTTGACCTAATTTCTTCATCTATCAACTAACAAACTCTAGACATAGATTTGGAAGTTGATATTTGCATTGTATTGATCTTAATGATTATTGCTTCGGGTGTTATTTCGAGAGATTATTTAACGGTCGAAACAATAATATTCACGAAATTGCTTTTGAGATAAACGGTTTTGCGAGGATACATGATTATATTGGTTGAAACTAAGTTCACATATTCGATTGATTGGATATGTTTAAGACGGATTAGTGAAACCTAATCTTGGCATGCTTTTTATCAAACAAGAACCAACTTTTACCTTGTTTTACTTCTTGCAAACTTATGTTACCAAATAGAAACCATTTGAAAACCCCTTTACTTAAGTCACTAAAATATTGAACGAAAAACATCAAATATTCTCGTACAATCTCCGCGGATACGATAAAACACTCCCGACTATACATTTTAACACATAGCTCTATAACATGAAATATTGCTTTACTGCATCCCTTTCAACCACTTCATCAACCATCGTCTTAGCCCTCCATGCCTTACCTTTGGTAATGCCAACAAAATACTTTTGCCTTAGCTCATACATAATCTCAGAGACTTTCACCTTATCCATGGAGTTTCTTTTGTCAACCACTAGTTTGGAAATCCATTTAGAATTGGCAGATCTGTCATCTAAAACCCTAGCACATGTGTGTGTCTCCACCCATGTTTTTAATTGGTAGGTGTGCTTGTCACCCACTTTACTACACAATGCTAAAAAACTACATTTGCCCCTACACTCTACCTTAACCCTATAGCTTTCATTCTTTACAAATTTTATCTCCCTACCATTAAGAAAAGACCACTATCTTATAGCATCTTTAAATTTACTTAATGAGGTAAATTCCATGCGAAGTTTGAACTAAAAATCTTTGTTCATCAACTCACTTCTGAACTGCTCATACTTAGGGAACTTTTCATCACCATTGACATCAGGATCAAAACTATCTAATTCTTCACTTTCATCATCCTCAAGGTCTCTTGGTATATTATTGAGTAACCTTCTAGAACCAGAGCACAATATTTTTGCAGGAACAAATGAATTTGGCTTTGAGTGACCACCTTGTTTCTCTTGGTTTTTTTAGCCCTTACTTTATACCTTAGAGATTTTCCATTAACATTAACATTTGTACCACTAGTTGGTTTTTTCACCACAAAATTCACAAAGCCTTCATTATTCTCCCACGTTCTTTCTTCTTCACTATCATCAAACCGAATGCCTCTAACTTCATCATCACTACTAAAACCATCATATTTACCTTCATTGAATTGAGCAACAGTAGGACTTAGAACCTTGCACATCATATCTTAAACTTCATGCTCAACCCATATATGGACATCAACTTTGTTATCAATGATGTGTTTGACAATTGCTTCAGTTAGTAGTACATCATTAATGACATGAAAAAACCCTTCATAAATTTCTGGGAGTTTTGTCCACAACCTAAATCCATCATATCCACAGTCCTTAACTAAACTCACAGCCTAAAAAATACACCAAGTGTCGGTATCTTGACCTTCCACAGTTGTATCATTCCCCCTATAAAATGTGTACTTATCATGCACAAAGTTACTCCCGTGATGGAAGATGACACTGAATACGCCCATGTCTACAATTACAAAAATACCCAATGGTTAAACTAGGGTTACTGGGCTATAAGAGAAATTACCATAATGAAACTTAAATAATCTGAGTGCAATAAAGTATGTTAATAAATGTCAAACTAACACATATGGTGTTGGTTGAGACTACTGCGAATCGTACCTTTTTGAAGTAAAGTAAACAAAAGAGCAAATCATACCTTCTTGAAGAACGGGCAACACAACGAATGCAGTACTTGCATTATTTCCTTTTAAAGCACGAATCTCAAGCTTGGGTAGAAGACAACGAGCAATTTGAGATATGCTTGCTTGGGGAGAAGACAAAGAGCTTGTGCGTGAAATTGGATATGAAACTGGATTTGGGAATTAAGGTTAATGACATATTACATGTGAAAGTAATCTTAAATGAAAATAAATTACACGTGGATATTAAATAAAATGAAAATAACAAAGGTATTACACATTGGCAATGTCACGTAAGATAATTTGATGAGTTGGTTTAATGAGAAACTGAATCAATAGAATCTTCAAATATTAAGGTGAGAATCTAATTTTTTTTATAGAGGAGTTGTAAATTAGCTATTAACCCTAAAATTTATGATATTTACACAATTTAATCGAATGACTTTGAAAATAGAATAACCCATTTAAATTCCACATTATTATAAAAAGAATAATCTTTACAAAAATATCTTTGTCTATATGTTACATTATTTTGAGAAAAACTAGATTTTTTTTTACAAAAAGAAAAAGTTAGAATAGAAAGCAAAATATCTTGCATGGTTGTTGTGTTGTGGGACATGTCATGATATATAGAAGCCGTGAATAACCAAACTCTCTAAGGTACGATGATGTCTTATCCTATTGTTGCCTCACCTTGTTCTCAAACTCAAACCATAAACATGGCTAGTATTTCATCTTCAGCTCTTCCTTTCTTCACTCCTAAAACTTCAAATCTCTACAACAAGTCTTGTTTTTCTAAATCCAATTTCTCTACTCTCACATGTAAGGCATCATCATCATCATCAAGTTTTTCATCATCCATGTTGGATTTTGACTTGTATGATCTTCTAGGAATTGATAGTTCGTGTGACCAGTCACAGATCAAGACCGCGTATCGATCTCTTCAGAAACGATGCCATCCTGATATTGCAGGTCCTTCTGGTCATGACATGGCCATCATTCTTAATGATGCTTATGCTATTCTTTCAGATCCATTTGCACGCCTCGCATATGATAAGGTTAATTCGTTTCTATTATTTTTGTAGTTTATAGATCGATTATTGGTTACAAGATAGAACTAGTTTTGTACTAAGGTCAATCTGCAGTAAGAGACGTAGACACAACTGGCCGAACTCATATCAAATCTTGTGTATTTTTGGTTTGCATCTTTTGTATCTGTTTTAGTTAGATATTTGGTTGCTTATAGTATAAGAAAAATGGTGTAGGAGCATGCAAAGATCACAGAATTCAAAGGCTTTACCGGAAGACCGACCTATTCGGTATGGTGTGGTTCAGAAAGTGAGCAGAGGGCTGTATTTGTTGATGAAATAAAATGTGTTGGATGCCTAAAATGTGCTTTGGTAGCTGAAAAGACTTTTGCTATAGAGTCAGTTTATGGAAGAGCTAGGGTTGTTTCTCAGTGGGCTGATTCTGAACCTAAAATTGATGAGGCAATACAAACTTGTCCTGTGAACTGCATTTCGTAAGTGTATGAGCTCGTGTGCGTGTGTACGCGCGTGCGTGTTTCTATCTAATGAAATATAATTTTTTCCCTTTTGAATAAACTAGAGTTGTTGAGAGATCCAACCTTGCTGCTCTAGAGTTCTTGATGTCGAAGCAGCCACGCGGCAACGTAAGAGTAGGTGCGAATAATACAGCAGGTGTTCGTGTCTCGAACATATTTGTAGATGTGGAGAAGTTTCAGACTAGATTCCAACAGACAATGGAAAAAGCTTCCAATTACTCTAAGGTTAGGGCATCTTTGGAAATTGCTTCTGTATTCTGTAGCACTCACACCTCTGAGAAAAACCGTGTCTATGTCAGTCTCGGACACTGATACTAACAATTGTGATTGCATTCAATTTATTTATTCTTTAAAATTATTACTATGTCGACATGCTACTGTCAGTGTTGGGTTTGGTGTCTGTGTATGTGTCCGTGCTTCATAGCTTCATAAGCTTTGATCTCCCAACCAGATATTTACGTCAATCCAAACAAGCCCTTATTCATCGATGCTTGTAATCATCATTATTTCATTTCATTATCTTTTTTCAGGAAACAGATCTTCAAAGAGAATCAAGAATGTCAGCAATTCAAGCAATAAGATCAATTTCCAATTGGTTATACTGGCATCCACATAGTGCAAGTGTTAACAAAAGCATAACAAGAGTAGTGCATAAACTACCTGATCCAAATCTTAATAAGCTTCGAGATGCAGCTGCAAAGAGAAAACTAAGAGATTCAAACAAAGCCAACAATCAAACTCCTTTAAACTCCATTCATCGCGAGGAATATTGGACTCCATTGGCTGTCGATCAAACTAGTACTATTACTAGTATTACTACTCCAACACCATTTGAGAAGCCTTCGTTTGCGAAAGGAAAGAAACAAAGAAAGAAAGATGATCTTGAAAGATATGAGAAAGAAAAAAGTCCAATTAGATGGGGACTACCCATTGTTACTTCATTGATTGGTATGGCTGGAGTTAGATTACATGAAGTAAGATCAACAGTTGGGTTGAAAGAGCATTTTGGTGGTTCTCTTGCTTTGGAAATTGTGAACAGTTCTTGGTTGCAATATGTTTTGGTAGCAGCTACATGGTATATGATTGGAGTGGTTGTTGTAGGATTTGTGGCCAGTATCGGAAATAGAATTAGATAGAACCCGAATTCTAAACTGCAGTTTGCGGTAAAATACAAGCAAATGCATCTCGTTCGGCCACATTTGCGGTTGCTATGCAGACACTCTAAAACTCTTATATTGCAGTTGCACAGAAACTATGGATAGAAGTAAATAATAGATGAATAAAAGGTTACTATAGAATAGATATACATGTAATATGAAGTTAAGTATGTGAAGAAATCTATGAGTTCAGAACAGATAATGTATTATTATATATAGCCTCTCTCTTTAAAGATGTCTGCATTGTGTTAATCATCATAATATATTCCTTCATTCGTTCTCTTATGTCGAGCAAATAAAGCATAAAATCAACGTAAAATAGAAGTCTTTTCCTATTAATATTTTCAAATTCAATATCGAAGAATCCTACTTTAGTAATATAGAACTTTCAACTTGTTTGGAGTTTCATTAAGACTCTAAGAAAATGTGTATGAGTAATTTTTTTTAACATTGAGATCAAATATATTGAAAGTTTGAGATCAAATATTCTTTATTGTTAGTTTGATGTATTTTTTAATTGTCTTTTCAATCAAGATATACATCTTATCAATATAAAAATATTTACTTTAATTTTTTTATACTAATTTTGGAGTTCTTTTCTTATTTAAAAAAAAATTCTTATATTTTGTACCCTAAAAAGTAAAAACTACTTATATTTGTATGATTAATTGATAGGTGAGAGCTCTTTGTTTTACATCCTTTCCATTATCCACAACAACACAAAATTTCAATGTCAAAATCGAGTTCACCCTCCTCCTATGAGAAGTACGATGTAAGAAAAAGAAACCCAAATCCGAAATCATGTGCACTGTTGGTCATCGATATGCAGAACTATTTCTCTTCCATGGCAGACCCAATTCTAGCTAACCTCAACACCACAATCACTCTCTGTAGACGCGCTTCCATCCCCGTCATATTCACGCGCCACTCTCACAAGTCTCCCTCCGACCACGGCATGCTCCACGAGTGGTGGTCCGGTGACCTCATCATCGATGGCACTGTAGAGGCCGATCTCATGACAGCGTTGGACCGCAAAGGTAAGTAACAGTAAAACCTTACAGATTTTTCGCATCAAAAAAACTATGTTAATAGATTATTTTTTTTCTATGGTGCATGTGGCGGTCAGGGGATGACATGGTGGTGGAGAAGAGTACATATAGCGCATTTAGGAAGACGGGTCTGGAGGAAAAACTGGTGGAGATGGGTGTGGATGAGGTTATAGTGACAGGTGTGATGACTAACTTGTGCTGTGAGACGACGGCGCGTGAGGCTTTTATTAGAGGCTTCAGGGTTTTCTTTTCTACTGATGCTACTGCTACATCTGATATAGATCTTCATGAGGCTACTCTGAAAAACATGGCTTATGGTTTTGCTTACTTAATTGATTCTCACAGGCTCAAACAAGCCCTTAATTAAACTTTAAATAAAATGGAAAAATGAAGCTTTGTTGCTAAATTCAAGTGCGAACTTAGTACTGTTATGTTGTAACAGAACTCTAATATCCCTTGTTATGTGTCACATGTATATGCTATCAATCAAAATAAAAGTGTGTTGATAATGTATGATACCAATTGCTATAACATTCACTTTGCCAATGTGTTAACTTCAACCTAATTTTCCTAATTCCCTTTCAAATTGAAGTCCGATTACCGATGATGTTGGATTGCTACCATACATTCTCTTGACAAAACCATACTCTAAGATTTTTCAGTTCCGAGGCTCCCTCAAACCAACTTCGTCCTCTACTTCAACAGTTAAGGTAAGTTTCCATATTTTGTATTAATCGATTTTGCTCCACCCCTCCAATTGTATTTGTTGATTTCGATTCAAACTATATACTTTCTAAATTCCTCCACTACAAAGATTTCTTAAACCTTATTGTAATCAGATTTGGAGGAAATTTTTTTGTTTCAACACGATCATAACTTTCGCCAATTTTATGCTCTACATTGCAGATGCTATGACCTGTCCATTTTTAATTATTTTGTAACATGATCTCACATTTTCCTTTTTGTGTTGTAATTTGTGACTTTTTTATACTACTTTTTTTCAAAATGGCAATAACTTTCGAGAATATCAAAGATGTGAATGACATGGAAGTTAGTTTTCGAAATATCCCATAAGTGGAATGTGTTACTTAAAGAAAGAATATTTAGAGATGAAATTTGTATTTGTTAAAAAATACAAATGTGCGTGGTATTCTTACGCGGATAAGAGATACTCAGATGCTTTAGTAAATAAGGGTGGTTATGGCTTGTCTGCGGCGGCGAAAGGTTTTGTTTGGTGGTTGTTAGCTCACAAATTTGACGCCACATATATATAGATTAAAATATTTAAATAAAATATTAAAGTCTTTTGAGAGGTAAAGAGGTTTTCGAAGCCTTGAGACCTTCGATTGGGAAGTCAAATATTGTGGGACTTAGAGAAAATTTTGAACCTTAAAAGAAGCAGCATTCGACCGAGATCCTGGCTGGAGATTAGTGAAGTTTTTTTGAAATTTAAATAATGCAGGGAGTAGTTATGCTTTCCTATGACTAAGAGGGACAAGTGGCGTTCGTGTGGCAAAGAACTTCATGCATTGTGACACTTGTCGGAAGCTGATTGCCTTAGGGGGTTATTGGTAGTTATTTTTTACTATCTTAAATAGGAGTCTTAGACATAGAATTCAGGGTGTTGTAATTTACTATTTGTACAAGTCACTCATAAATTTACTTAAAGTATCCGAGTGTAGAGAAAAGAATTCAAGGAGAATGTACGTTATGTAAACACACCACCTTTACTTTCAATGAAGTTTAATTTACTTGCTTAACTTTACCAAGTTTTCCTTTACTTTATCTACAATCTACCCCCTTCTATGCACTTTACTTTATCTTCGTCCTAAATTCCTTTCTAAGATCTCTATCTCTTTCCTCCTAAATTTCTATCTTCTCTTTCGCTTAAGTCGAACAAACACCTTTATGATTAAAGCCTTTTTCTAAACACTGTCGAAGTGTGTAACTTAGATAGATTTCAAAACATAAACCTTTAACACATGTCCTAGGATCAACCTGATCGATACAGTGAGTCACCAAAGTTAAATTTGAAAGATCAGCGGTTGTTTTCCATTTTTCAAGGGAAACAAAATGGCACGCCCAGTGGAACAGTGCTAAAAGATTTTTTTTATATAGTTTTGCAAAATTCGCAAAACTGCAGTTTTATTTGTCTTCGTAAAAGATTCGTTATATGTTACTAAGAAGTGGCAAAATCGCCACTATAAACGAAGAAAGACCAAGAAGAGAGTATACTAGGGACATGGCGACAAATACAAATCAGCCAAACAACCCTAATCCTCGAGGAGATGGTTCTAACTCTCAGCTGAGCACCATTAGTCCTCACGAAGGATTGAGGAATGATGTGGTTCCACCCTCAATACCTTCGACTGGAGAGCAAATAGTACCTCCTGCAAGGATGGAACCCGTGCCATCAGTGTTGGGGCCTGGGTCAACAAGAATGAGGACTTACGCCCAACTGGTGTTGGAGTATATTGGACCTCAAGCATCGAATCCCCAGACTCCGCCAGGAGGAAATTCGACATCTAGGAAGTTTGTCCCTCCAGGGTTTTCACAATTATTAACAAGAAACCCTCCATATGGAATGCCAACAATTGTGATGCAGGGTTGATCAGTGGTTTTTACACGTGATTTTACCGTTTGTTTCAGTTAATCAATTGTTATGTCCTATCACATTTTATTTGTTTTTATTACATTTTACGCGTCGATTTGGTATTTTCACTATTTCTAGGTTTAGGTAAACAATAAAGGAGAAGCAGAGCGAAAACCAGAAAAAATGACAAGAATTCAGAAGAGTTTTGTTGTGGACCAGGAGCCTGACACGGGTGTCCGTGTCCTGTGACACTACCCGTGTCAGGGCCCCTGAAGAAAAAGATAGCCAACCCAAGAACCAGCAGCCTGACACGGGTGCCCGTGTCCTGTGACACTGCCTGTGTCAGGGCTACTGAAAGTAAAATCTTTAGCAGTCTGCACGGAAACGATCATAACTGGAGATCCGAGAATCTGTTTGAGGCGTTCTAATAATCGCCGGAAAGCTAAGAGAGAGAGCTGCGACTTTCGTGTTGGAGTCGAAGTCAGATTCAGGGCAAATTTTTCCAGATTTTCGTTTGAACCTGCAACATTAGTTTTATTAAGTTTTGGTGTGCTATCTTGGAGGGCAGTTTAGGCATCTCACATTGTAATTTGAATTATGGTATATTAGACGCATCGTGAATTGAGAAAAGGGACTTTTTTTGGACAGAAAATAATTTCACGAGAAAGATTGGAGCGATCAAGGATTTGGAAAACTAAAGGTCCTCATGAGCGGAAGCCATTGAAGATCAAGGCAACCAATTATCTTGTAATGTTTAGTCTTATTGTTGATTTTATCTTTATTATTATGAGTAGCTAAACCCCCAATGCTAGGAGGTGTCCCTGAATTGACTCTGTAATAACCTTGTTTCCTTTGAATAATGGATTTCACTGCTTTCTAATCATCGTTGTTATTGTATAATTTTCTTATGACTTTTCTTATTTGACAAATAAGGATCTGATTTACGGTTAACCATAGGTTTGGAAAAACGATTGTTAACGCGTTTATACGATAATACTATAGTAGATATTGCCTAGGAATAGGGATACCCTATAGTAACCGTAATGTTTTAGATAAAAATTATTGCTTGGTATTGTTTGTCGCTACTGCGAAAATCGGCGCCGGCTGAACAGAAGAGTCGCCACCGTGCGTTATTTATCCCACGGGAGGGAAAGGAAACGCTCAGAGTAAACCTCGCACAACACGGGAAAGGTATGGTCATCGCAACCAAAACCTGGGTTCGGGAGTCGGTTACGCAAGGGGAAGGTATTAGCACCCCTCACGTCCGTCGTACTCGACGGGATCCACGCTTGTTTTCGGGTATGGATTGTTATTCTATCTAAACTATAGGTCAAGGGTTAAAAGAAAAATAAAATGAAAATAAAATGACTCGGCAAAGTATCGCACTTTATGCCTACGTATTCCCGTCTGGAACGAGAAATCAGAGTCAACGTAGTTCGCCTACCTACGGGAAAGGAGGGGAAGGTTGCTCGCTAGGATATCGCATCCTATGCCTACGTACTTCCACACAGCATGGAAGATCAGAGCAAACGTAGTTCGGGCCACGTACGACACAAGTCTGTCCTTGATTGATTTTATTCCTTCTGAAAAAGGTTTTTCTGATTAACAGTCCAAGCGGACAAAAATGACGTTTTGATGAGTTCACATTCTTTTACGAAAGAAGTGTCTTTTATTGTGTTTGAAATCTTTATGTGTTTTTCTGTTTGTTTTGAGAAAGAAAGAGACAGAACTTTAACCTACGGTTGCGAAGGGAAACAAACTATCCTAATGTTATCATGCATGGGTTAAGACCTAGTGTCTATCATGCTCCTCTCTTGCACAGAGAGAAACAGAGATCCTACGGGATAGGCAGAAACAGAAACAATATCAGATATATACAGTAAAGCAGTAAAATGCATGGATGCAACAGCACAAGCGAGGCAAGGGAGTCCCACTCAACCTCGAACCTAGAAAACAATAGGCGAAAGTGAACAGGCTTCACTTTCAACCCAACAGGGTAAACAGCAAACAATACAGTTCAGAAAACCAATCAATACATCAGCAAATGAAATACAACAGCAAAAGAAACAGCATCAGCAGCTCTGAATCAACAACTGGCTTCAAGCAATCTCCAATCAGCTACAGGCTTCAACAAGCATCAATCTCCATCTTCATGGCCTTCAGACAAGGGCTTTGATCATCAGTCTTCCATCTGCAATGGCTTTTCTTCAAGCTCAAACCTCCAGGATGAGGGATCAGTCACAAGAGTGAATTGGGTGTTAAGCAATCAGCTGACTACCAAAGGTGGTGAACAGACTGCTTCTAACACAAGAGACATTTTCTCTCAAGAGTTCTATCTCACAGACACCATCACCAAGCCTTCCAAAGGAAGGGGGTGAGTGTCTTAGAGAGACTCTGAATCACAGAGAAGAATGGATGCAGATAAGGCAATCCATGTTTGAAAAACAATCATTCTAATCTAGAGCTCTCCCTAGCTCCTAAACCCTAGTCTCCTCAGCAACTGATAGCAAGAAACTCCTCCTCAACTCTAGCAGTTGATCTTCAGTCTTTGACTCTCCAATGGTCTTCATCTCCACAAATCTTCAGCTTCCCCAGGGCCCCAGACAAACCCAATACCCAATCAAACAATCAACAATCCCCAGAGGGCACACCACACCAGACAACAGATACACAGACAGTAATAATATCAGTAGGGGAATCCTAATTGTTCTCTAAGGGATCTAATAGCTACCCATAGCCCATATAGTCCCATAACTAATCTATTTAAAACCTAA